TTGCAGAATTACAATAAAATTCTGAAAGTTTTGAGGAAAACATTTTGTTTTCTTTTGATTCAGATTTAAAACCTTTTATGTTGTTAAAGTGGTAAAAGGGTTGATGGGTTTATAAAAGGCATTCTTGGATGGTGTTTTGGATTTGGCATGAAGGGAGATAAGCCAAAGAGATATTCATATTATTCATCAATAAACTTTCAAAACCTTCATGTTGTGTGTATTTTTCCATTATGTACTATCAATGTCCTTTTATAGGCATTATTACTTGGAGTAGTGAAGGATTTAAACTCGGAGATTTATGCGGAATTATACATACCTTCTTGTTATAGGATCAAGTGCTATCACCACCAATTGCCTAAGCAGTTTCTTACAAGATCACTATGGAGTCTTGTATTGTTTTTCACAATAACTACACTCTTTATCTAAGGAACTCTTTTCTTGTGTTGTTTGTGTTGTTTGTGGATGACCCCAAGTCTTCCCTTTTATAGGACAAGGTTAAGACTTATAACTCTTATTCATTCAAGAGTTACATCACCCCTTATCCTATAACTCCCACTCCATTCAAGAATACATAACTCTTCTTCTTTTACTATAGGGAGTTATTTAGTGGAGTTGTAACTTACATCATTAATGAAGCAAGTTACTAGGCAACCCATCAATGGGTGTATCTATTTCCAACATCTCCCACTCACACATGATGGGATGAAACACATAGGGCTTTAATTTGAAAAGTAAATTCCTTTAGACATTCATACCAAGTGTATTGTCGTGACCGCTCAGACACTAAGTTTGGGAGCTCTTTTTTCTAGATCAACATAAGAGACTACCACCCTTTTATGATCATTTATGATATATTATCATGTCATATAAAGTGCCTTAGATGCCCCAGACATGTCTATATACACATATGGCTTCTTTTAACCCTCTTTCCATTTTCAATTTTCATATGCCTTGTGTCCATACTTATGATGCTAACTAAAATAGGCTTCATAATGGACTGGTCTCAAACACAAGCATAATGTGTATATATTTGACACGATCTTCCTTTCGCCCACATATCACTAAGATTAGGATTAATTGCTTTCCTAGCATTACTCATTCAGGTCGTATTTTCATAACCTTTAGATTCATACTAAAGTAGCATACACTAACCCATCACCTCATGATATTGTCAAAGTCATAAGGGCACTAGTGGAAAAAAAAACTTTTCAAGGTCTCACATAAAAGTGAAGTAGGGTGTATTCACTTACCTTTCAATTTGCGGTAATGAAGCACATGCAATATGAAATGCATGTTACAGTGTGCCTCTGATTCCATCAGAGTGTATGTCGATTTTCATTTCTTCACACTGTACAAATCTTGGTCCAAGTAAATCATTTACTTGACCTGAGTTCTACCACTCTATTGTACTTTTAGAGGAGATCTCACATCTGGCTACAAGTATTATGGGTAGTGGGAATCCATAATTTCGATCCTTTTTTACATTTCTCTTGGATCTCATCCTAGTCTTTTACTAGGGCGACTTTAAATAATATGTTCTTAATCGAAGGTGCCACATATATTAGCTAACCTTTTTTAGTGTTAAGAAACACATATGTCTCATCTTGGCTCACTTTCCATAAGCGCCCAAGGCGGTTGCTCATGTGAGGAAGCCAACCTTATCAACTTGTACGACATACTCTAATATTGTGAATGTGCTAATCAATAATAATGTATGAAATAACCATAAAAAAAACATCAAAAAGATATTCATACATTAGGATCAAGATGTTCAAATAAGGAAATATATCATTTTACATCCCACGCAAGCCTAGAGATTTCACATGTTTAACAAAGACATCTCTAGGTATTGGCTTTGTTAAGGGATCCGCTACCATCTTGTGTGTAGAAATGTAATGTAAAGCGGTTTCCTTACGTGCTATGATGTCTCTAACAAAATTATACTTTCTATCTATGTGCTTAGTCTTACTATGATACTTAGGGTCTTTAGTATATGCCATTGCTGCTTGGCTATCACAAAAAAAATTGCATTGCATCCATTGACATGCCAATGATCCCTAAGTGTTCCATGAACTTAGCCATACAGCTTCTTGTACTGTTGTAGAGCATGCAATGAACTCTGCTTCCATAGTTGATAAAGCTATACATGTTTGTTTCTTGCTACTCCATGAAATGGTACCATTGTTAAGCAAAAAAACATAACCAGAAGTGGACTTTCTTTCATCTATGTATCCACCCCAATCAGCATCAGAGTAGCCCCCAACTGTAAGTCACTTCCTTGATAACATAATTTGTAATCAACAGTGCCCCTTAAGTATCTCAAGATTCTCTTAACAGCTTTCCAATGTGTTTGTCCTGGATTGGATTGATAACGGCTAACAAGACCCGCTGCATAACAAATATCGGGACGTGTACACAACATTGCATACATTCAACTCCCAATTTCACTTGAATATGGGACCCTCTTCATGGCATCTTTTTCAATTTGAGTTTTGGGACATGTTTCAAGGCTTAAATTTTCACCTTTAGCTACAGGGGTGTCTATTGATTTACAGTCTCTCATCCTGAATCGTTCAAGAATTCTTTCAATGTATGATTCTTGTGATAAAGTTATTAAATTCTTAGGGAGATTTCTATGAATTTTAACTCCAAGGATGAATTCTGCTTCTCCCATGTCCTTCATTTCAAAATTTAGGGACAACCAACTCTTTATAGCCTTTACAAAAGTAAGACTATTTCCAGCTAATATATGTCATCCACATAAAGGGAATATCATAAAATCAGTTTCAGACCGCTTCATATACACACAATGGTCTTCATCGATCATATTAAAGTTGCAAGACGTAATAGCGTGATGAAATCTTAAGTACCATTGTCTATATGATTGTTTAAGTCCATAAATAGACTTTTTGAGCTTGCAAACTTTGCGCTCTTGACCATTTTGGATAAAACCTAATGGTTGTTCCATATAAATTTCTTCATCTAGTTCTCCATTGAGAAATGTCGTCTTTACATTCATTTGATGTAACTCCAAGTTCATACTTGCAACTATAGCTAAAATCAGTCTAATAGAGCTAAATCTCACAACGGGAGAGAAAGTATTTTCATAATCAATGCCCTCTTGTTGTGTGTACCCCTTAGCCACCAAACGATCTTTGTAGCGTTCAATTACACCATCCGCCTTTCTTTCAATATTGAGAACCCATTTATTCCCAATTGTCTTTCGACTTGGCGGAAGATCAACCAAATCCCAAACATGATTTGTCCTCATGGACTCCATTTCCTCTTTCATTGCTTTTATCCACTTATCCTTAGTAAGGCCTGAAAAAGCCTTTTGAACTGAATTAGCCTCTTCATCATCTTGCGGAGTAACTATTAATGTTTCCCCTTCGATATGAAATCAACGTCGGGGTATAGTTCCTCATGTACTCTTCCACACATGTGTCTCTTGTGGAATATTCTCTAAATGAGTAATTCTCCCACTTTGATCAGCAAGAGAAGGTACAATTTCTTGTTCCTCACTTCTTTGATCTTGAAGATTTTCTTGATGATCCACAACTTCATAAAATGACACAGTTCTATCAATATCACCCTTACTAGGAAATTCAGTCTCTAAAAAATGTGGCATCTCGTGACTCAAACTTTGTTATACTTCCATCTTCATTTTCTCCTATGAAGATATAACCCTTTGATTGCTTTGAATAGCCAATGAAGATGCATTTCTTGCCCCTAGGGCCTAACTTCCCATAGTTATGAGAAGAATCATGCACGTATGCGGCAAACCCCAGGGTCGCAATATATTTAAGTCAGATTTTCTACCCGTCCATAATTCATAGGGTGTGGAAGCAACGGACTTAGAGGGCACACGGTTAAGCACAAAAGCTGCAGACATCAATGCGTCTCCCCAAAAAGAAATTGGCAAGTTAGCATGCGCCATCATAGACCTAACCATCTCAAGCAAAGTTTTATTTCTTCGCTCAGCTACTCCATTTTGTTGAGGAGTGTATGAAATTGTTAATTGTCTTACAATTCCTTTTTCATCACATAGATCCTTAAATTGATCTGATAGATACTCACCCCCACGATCAGTTCTTAAAGCTTTTATTCTTAACTTTAATTGATTCTCCACCAAATTCATAAATTGTCTAAAGCATTCCATTGCTTCTGACTTATGGGAGATCAAATAAACATGACCGTGACGAGTATAATCATCTATAAATGTGATGAAATATGAGGCTCCATGCCTCTCCCTCACACTCATAGGACCACATATATCTGAATAGATGAGTTGCAATGGACACTCAGCTCTAGTTCCCTTTCCAAATGGTTTTCTAGTCGATTTTCCTGCTAGACAATGTTCACATATTGACATTTTCAATTTTTAGTTAAGGACCCCCAACAATCCTTCCCTTTGCCAATCTATTCATTCTTTCAAGGCCTATATGTCCTAGTCTAGCATGCCAACTATTTATATCTAAAATTGGAGTTGTTGTTAAAGCAAAACAACCATGATTATTAGATATATAACTAAAATCACAAATTGTGTCCAACACAATAAAACCATAAAAAAGGTAACCAGAACCATAATATTTAGTGCCATAAATAATGTCAACAGAATTATTGTGAAAATTCACACTGGAACTTAATTTAAGAAGAGAAACAACTGAAACTAAATTCCGCCGAATGTCTGGAACACATAAGACATTATGTAGGAGAAGGATTCGTCTACCTTGCAACTCTAGTTTGCATATTCTGATCCCTTTCACTTCAATTGATGCATTGTTTCCTACATAAAGCCATCTGCTCCTGGAAGGCAGTCTGCGGTATTCAAGAAATGATCCTCTATCTCTAGCTATGTGGTATGTGGCTACTGAGTCAACAGTCCACAAAGTATTAGCATCTGCCATTAATGCAGTACTAGAGACATAAGCAAAATATGGAGTTTTAGTGCATGATGTTACCTTATTCTGCTCCAGGCAATCCGGCACAAAATGACCCATCTAGTGACAAGAATAACACTCCACTTTGGCCATATCAATCTTCTTAGCACCACGTTTTCCTCTCTTCTTAAATTGAGATTTATCCTTCTGATTTGACTTATCAGACCCCTTTTTCTTCCATGCTTTCTTGTTCTTGTTCTTTTGCTTAGGATTAGAAGTCCCAGCAGATTCAGCTAGAAAAGCTTGATCAGTTGCTTTAGAAGCCTCACGACGCTCATCTTCAAGAACAAGATGGTGCTCAATGTCTTCAAAAGACTTGATGCTTTCATTGTGGGTCATATGAATTTTCATATATTCCCAACTAGCACGAAGAGATCTTATAACAACTTGCACTTTTTGTTCATCAGAAAGTTTATGACCAGCTGATTTTAGTTCTCGTATCATATTTGATATCTCTCTTAAATGTTGTCTTATTGATGAATTAGGGCGGAGTCTATAGGTGTCAAACTTAATGGTCAACCTCCTAAGTTTTGTAGCAGAAGTGCCACCAAACTTATCTTTCAGTGCTATCCACATGGCTTGGGCCGTTGGATAAGATTTGAACTCACACATAAGATCATCAGCCATACTACTCAGCAACGTTATGCGAGCAATAATATTTTTCTTCTTCCAGACTTGAAAAGTCTCAATATTTCTCTCATGTTGTTTGGTGTCTTCACCCGCCGGCTCAACCATCACATGGTTTAGGGTCTCCAAAACCTCTTGCTCTTCAAGAATGTATTGAATCTTACGGTGCCAAATGTCATAATTATCACCATTTAATTTTTCACCCTTATTCAATTAAGCAATAATAGTCTTTGAAGCCATTTTATAAACTTATCTTCTTGTTATAAGATCAAGTGCTATCACCACCAATTGCCTAAGCGGTTTCTTACAAGATCACTATGTAGTCTTGTATTGTTTTTCACAACAACTACACTCTTTGTCTAAGGAACTCTTTTCTTGTGTTGTTTGTGTTGTTTGTGGATGACCCCAAGTCCTCCCTTTTATAGGACAAGGTTAAGACTTGTAACTCTTATTCATTCAAGAGTTACATCACCCCTTATCCTATAACTCCACTCCATTCAAGAATACATAACTCTTATTCTTTTACTATAGGGAGTTATTTAGTGTAGTTGTAACTTACTTCATGAATGAAGCAAGTTACTAGTCAACCCATCAATGGGTATATCTATTTCCAACATCATAGTGCTACATTAACAAGGCGAAGCCATTCATGACATCCACCAAATAATATATTTACAATAATTTTTAATTTTAGGTCCTTTTTACATAAGGTCTTCATTTTTGCACATAAAATATCTAAACAGTTATTTTCTTCTGTTAAATTTATAAGTATTCATTTGCTATATCATTTATATTTGGCATAATACATAAACACACTCCTTAACTTGACTTCAGAAGAGATGTGGCCAAGTAGACACTTAGATTTATATAAGATTGAACATGTGGGCACATGTATCCTACATGACAATTCGTATGTACACTCGAACTAATTTATATTATGTCATGTAGAATGTTTGTCTACTTATTCAACTTCATTCACCTTTAAATGCACATAGATGTCACCTTAAAACAAGTTAAAAAGTTGGTTTATGTATTATACCTTTATGTATTTTGATGTGATAAGACATAAGTACCCCCTAAACTATGATCGAAATTTCACCGACACACCTTAACTTAACTCGGGTCCTATTACCCCCCCCCCCCCCTCCCCCAACCTCGATTTTTCTATATTTTCATGCACCTTCAACAAGTAAAGTTGTTTGTGTGTATAACACGCGCCGCCACGTGTGTATATATATATAATTCAATTTTAAATTTTTATATTTTTAAGTTGTTTTTTCTTAAAGAATATTCTTATTTTATTTATTTTGTATTTAAATTAAGTTACTACACATAATTTTCAAAAAGAATTGTCTTATATTTAAACTCTTTTTTTTCATTTCTTAACTTCATTCATTGTTTTTTCTCTCTTTTTCTCTATTGATTTTATTTATCAAACCCAACGAATTTCCATTACAATTTTAAATTTATTTCATAAAAAATCACAAAACCCATTTATTTTTCTTGAAGCTTCATCAAGCTTATTAATGAAGTTTTTCAATTTTTCAAAACTCACTGTCACCCTTCACATTAGCTCATACAAAATTCAAAAAATACTCACGAAATTGATATTTTAGGGTGGAAATGTAGAAAACGAAAAGAACTACAAGTGGTCTTGATTTGCTGCAAAAGAAGAAATTTTTGAGAAAATATTTAGGGGTGGTGCAGTAAGAAGAAGAACGGAGTGAAAATAGTGGGTGAATCAATAAAAGAAAGAAAAGAAGGGAATGAGAAGAAGAATTTGGTTTGGGTTTGATGGAGGGAGGGGCAGTGGCGTCTCTATGAAGAAGTTGACTTCCCATTCTTCTATTTTTTGGCGTTCTTTTTTTTTTTTTAATGATGTTTAATATAAAATATTATACTCACTCGCCTTAACACGCATGGAATTACCCATTATTCCAAGTCAGCAATATTGGTGCCACATGTATTCAGTCAATGGTCAAAGGTGTTTAAAATATTGTGTTTTAGTAAGTATAAGGATTCAGTTGACAAAGTCATAAGTACATGGGTTCAACTTACAAACGGAACCAAGTATAAGGATCACTTAGATCATTCCGCTTAAGGATAAATATAACTCTTTTCTAAGAGTACAAGGGCAAATATGACCCTCTTCCGAATTTAAAAAGAACATGTGTCCAATTTTTTGGTTTTCACTTGCCTTCAAGAGAGCGTGCACACTCTATACCCGTCAGTTTTTGGGGTGTTTATTCTATTTTAAAATAGTTTAGAAGGGTAACAAAACCTTAATTAAGTTTAAATATATCGCTGAAATTTCGACCATAGTTTAGAGATAGTTATACATCATCTCTATTTTGATTTATAAAGTTGCACTAGTCTGCTATTCCAAGTACATTTCAGTTAGCTTCTTTATTTGAGAAACTTTCTTTTACTTTTGTATGAATTTATTGACCCCTTAACCTAAAACTAAAAGTCCCATTAGCAAAACGACCCGTGGTTGAAATGTTTTGAAAGCAATAGCCATAAACTATCATTGCATTGAAACTGACTTAGGAAGAGTTAATGTTTGTGTGAAAGAAAATTCATCCTTAATTAAACTTTATATAAAACATAAAATTGACATGGTATAAAAATGGTAATTTAAAGTAGTCCAAGTAATCTCATAATCTTCGATATAAATTTTTGCTCAAGTCTTTACGAGATCACTTGTCCGAACTTTAAACTGAGGGCAAATAAAAGCTGAGAAAAATAAATATAGCATTCTTGTCTATCGATTACACTTTAAGGAACCTGTCAAACCAATTGCTTGCTTCATTTACCATCAGTGGAGTCATTTGATGACCAATACCAGCTTGAGCTATCACCTGAAATGTTACAACAAACAAAAAATTCAAAAATGGCCACCTAAAGTACTGGAAAAAGAAGTTATATGTACAAACATTAACGTTTTCAACTTCCTAAGACAATTTTACAATCTTGAATAACATTGTACCTTGAAATTAAGTGGACAGTCAGCATCTGCACAAGCTTTACGAACACTTGACATTGGAATAACAAGTCCAGCAATTGGACAACGAGGATCTTCCTCTCCTACGTATCACAAATGTAGAGTTATCTTCCGGTTATCAGCACAAATTTTGAAATGTACATACATTCTGATAATTTGTGTACTAAATGGCGATGGCATGAAATATCACAAATCGTATGAACAAATAGATCGTACCATTCAAAATCAGCAAAGGGCGTGGTGCAATGACCGGCACTGTATATGGTGAATCAAATTGAGAAGCCAAACCTGGAGCAATTCTGTCCCAGACCTGCTCATGTATTCTAATTAACGTCAAATAGAAATCTGTTTGATGAATATTATCATGAGAAGTTAACTTCTTATGCTACATTTTAGAAACTGATAACTATAACACAATGATCAAGTCGCTTGCAAATAGGCCAGAAAGGGTACTAGAAGGATGAAATCCTGACCTTCTCAACCACTTCTTTGTCAATTTCATTCTTGCCTAAATCGGAACCTGCTTCTGAAAGGACAAACAAATGATATCTCTGGTATGTTAAAACCCACATAAACAACACTAATTAGAAGCTGATAAAACCAATTACAAGTTATAAACTGGTTTGTGTCACCTTCAAACACATCTTTGATACTGTCAACTCTTCCCTGCCATCGATCATGCTCAATAGCCCACCGAAATCCCTGCAACCTCATCACAAGATCTCCTATTGATATATCCACAACTCTTTCCTTATCTTCACACAAACTAATACTCAAGTAAGGGTCACCTGAACTCCGATTATAGGAACAACCACTGAATAACGAGTGTCGGCAAATGCAGCAAACCATGCATGCATACCTGCAACACAGAACATATATGAACTTCACATATTTACAAAACAGCTAGATATTGCATGTAAAGTGACTCGCCTAACCTCCCAGTGATTCACCAGTAATTCCTATCCTTGACGAGTCAATATCTTCCCTCTCTGTTAGATAATCCGCCAGTTTTATCAAGTCCCACACCTTTGCAGAGAAGTACTATTTTCAGAGGCTAGATATTGGATAATAAGTGCTGCGGTTTGAGACTGAAAACTGTCTTATCAACAACAAATCTCCGTTTCCTTACCGTATCATATATGAAAGGCATTGTATCACCTTTTTTCCATGACGATATAAGGGCCTGCATTGTATAAAAGAGCAGTAAGGCTGATCAACTCAATCAAATAGTAGCATCCAAGCATTTAACGTAAAGAAAATAGAACGGCAAGTGCAGAACAATTGTGCATACTATAAATTTAGGACAGTGCACCAATAGCCTATTGGACCTGAGTGTACTTTTTTGCCTGAGAAGATAACCAAGAGTAAAACTGAAGCAAAGAGCAAATGCACCTGTTCTTACATCACGATATGTTGTCATATTGGTGGCACGTTCTCCATGGTATCGAGAATCAATTGCTACAGCTATGTATCCCCTCGAAGCATATGCCTGAATCCAAAAAAGAAAAAAGAGAATCGTACATAGAATTGTCATTCATTTCTTCTGCTCGATGGTGATATGGGGAGTACTTTTAAGAAAACAGAATATCACCTGAAGCAATGGCCGTAACCACTCTTTACATTTGTTTGTACTATGCAGGAAGACAATAGCTGGCCTCTTTTTCTTATTGGTTTCCTTCATGCTCAATACCAAGAAAGGCAACCGTCCTTGCTCTCCTTCCTGGAAATAGTGAGTTCATGCGCAATACTTATAGATGAGACATTGAGAACATTACTTCTGAAGAATGAGTATTCCAAACATTTATCTTCATTCAATTCATCTGATTCTTCTTGTAATAAAAGAATTATAATTGATGCAGCCACTTCATTTGACTGCTTATGCTCAGTCTTTTTTAATTATCGCTGAACCTTTGACACTCTTATTTACTTTTCAAACACCATTGAGGCACTCCAGTCCAAATATAGTGAAATGAATAGTGAGGATTCAGATAACCGACCATAATTGGACATATGTTTAGGTCATTGCACCTTGTTGTTGATGATACGGTTCCTTACATATATGCTTCACACTGCTATTAGTTATCATATTTATCTCCGCTACCAT